CTAAATAAAATACAAAATAACACTTGGGATGTGGCTTAATGGTCTAGTGCCCCTGAGTTCAATCCCTAGTATTCCCCCACCCCCACCAAAAAACTAGTTAGGTGTTGAATATATCCAGATATTTTCTGAAATTCAGAAAAGAAAAAAAATGTATAGAAAAATGAAAGGCTGGGAGAAGAAAAATGGGAAATGAGGAGGAGGAAAGAAAAAAGATGAAGATGCATACACTTGGTTTCAATAATTGCTTTGTGGTAGAAGAATATTGCAATATATTATATTAAATCATGCTTTCTTTTCTCTTGAAGACTTATCAAGAATTTTCCATTGATAATTTAATTTTTAAAAAAAACTATCTAGATTTTCAGAATTGACCAGTGTTACAAAAACCAGAGTAGCAATTTGGTATTTCTGTTATTTTTAACTTGCTTTGGTCTTTAATCATAGTAAGATCATTAGCTTCAGTTTTTACCTATAAAAAGGAGAGTTGCTGTGAGGATAGAAATAGATATGATATTTAAAATTTTAAAACACTACCTCTCAAAATTTCTTTTATTCCTTATGCTCAATATCATTTATGGATTTTTTTAACAAAATAAGATTGAGCACAAACTGTAAGGGAGGGTTAAATTTTGACTTTCTAAAATCCATGTCAATGTGGAATTTCAGAATGTGACCTTATCTGGAATTAGGGTATTGGAAGATGTGCTTAGTTAAAGAACTAGAGTTTATATTCAGAGTAATCTTTAAAATTAATGACTGGCATCCTTATAAAAAGGGGAGAGGAACATTTTCCTACAGAAGAGTAGGCAATGGGAAGGTGGAGAGAGAATCCAATATATATATTTTTTCTACATGCCAAGAAGATTTGGGGACAACAGAAGCTGGAGGAGGCAAGAAAAGGTTTTCTCTAACAGCCTTCAAAAGAGACTTTATCCTGCTGTAATCTTGATTTTAGACCTACAGACTCTGGAACCATGATATATTGTATTTCTGCTGTTTTAAGATATTAAATGTACAGCAATTTATGATGGAAGTCCTAGGAAACGGACACACATGTTAAACATCTCTGTTTACAAAACTTTCCATTTTTAATTTTGTAGCATATTACTTTTGCCTCTCATTTTCTTCTGCCCCCAAAGAGATTGTATTAGATTCTTGTGACTAATGCAACAAATTATAATATATTGTGTTGCTTAAAACAATGTAAATTTGTTCTCTAACAGATTTTGAGTGTAAATCTCTGAAATCAGTTTCACTGAGTTAAAATCAAGGTTTTACCTGGGCTGAATTTCTTCTGGAGGCTCTGTGGAAGACTCCCCCCGCCCCTTTTCTTGAGCATCTCCTATTTCTCAGCTAAATTATAAAGATGAACGTATGGGGTTATAAAAGTTCAATGCCACCAGGCACACATAATAAACTACCCAAGTTTTAGATTTGAACCAGTGAGTTGCTCATTGAGAATGTAGTATCTTTTTCTTCACCTGCTTATCAAAGACAAAGTGATGTCCATTATCAAATACAAAGAGATATCCATTATCAATGACAAAGTGATGTCCATTCTGATACATTTCTAGGACTTGGACTATGTGTAGAAATTAAATAAATTGTCTCCCTGTGTGTGTGAACCCAAACTGAGGTCTTAGAAATTTTACTTTTCTATTTACACACTTTAAAATATTGAACAAATAGCAATTGCATGTATCTCTTACATTAAATAATTATAATCAATTATATATTTCACATATTTAAAAAAAGGCAGAAAATTTACAAAGAAGCTTGGATGAGGGATGGCATGCTCTTTTCAATAGAGTCATTCATTCGTTGGTCTCCTGGGTCTTTGGTTCCAAAATCTCCATGGACTACAAAATGCATATGCTCAAGTAGCTTATATAAAAAGATGTAATATTTGCGTATCACTTATGCACATCTGTTTACTTCAAGTGATCTCTATAATACTTATAATTCCTGTGTAATATAAATGCTATGCAAATAGTTGTTTTATCATATTGTTTAGGGAATAGTGACAAGAGAAAATGACTTTACATGCTCAGTACAATTTTTTTTTTCTCAAATACATTTAAACTGTAGTTGGTTGAATCTGTGGAGGTGTAGTTGACGGCCATGGAGAACTGGCTTCAGTGTCATTGGCAAGTATTTAAATACAGGAAAAACACCTATGTGATTTTGCTTCATTGTTTTTCGTTTGTTTGTTTGTTTTTGGTTACTTGTCTATTACATACACACATGTGTGTGTCTCAGAATTTCTTTTTCTGTTTATACTAATATTAGTTTACATATCTGGACAAAGAATTAAATGGTTTTTTTTTTTCTTCACTCAAAGTTACTGTAAAGTAACTGAGGGTACATTCTTTATGAGATAGCTGTTCTCGTGGTTTCAGTGACTTTTTTTCTCTGTTATTATTCCCTGAAGTATAATGTAATTAGGATGCTGTAAATATTTTAGTGATTTTGGAAGATAATAACTGAATGGAAATGGGTCATTCAAACAACCACTGAGGAAAACAGTTCTTTGCCCTAAATGAAGAGAAAGGAGTGTTTTCGGCAGGTCTAAGCTGTCTAGGGGTTTAGTGGAGTCTCCTTAGGGATTAGAGCACTTAGCCATCACTCATCTCTGCTTCATAGGAGCACATCTATATCCTACACCAGAGTAAGGCTGAAATGAACCTGAGCCTCTTTTTCCCTGTGTAGAATCTCAGAGCTTAAATAAATCATAAAATGCTTAAGAGGGCTGGAGTTGTAGCTCAGTGGTAGAGTGCTTGTTTCAATCCTCAGCACCACATAAAATAACACTTTATGTGATGGTTCATCTTAAACAAATTGGTAAAACTATAGTAAAATTATACCATGATTATAGTGCAAAATTAGAAAGTGATATCTTATAATAAAACCAATACTTTTGCTGTGGTTCTTTATAAAATAATTTCATAAATTTATATGCACAGTACCATGGTAGTCATAAACACATGGAGAAAACATTAAGGAATCATAATAAATTCATATGAATTACGTGTCTTGTTAGTAGAAATCAGTAATTTCTTTTTTACTCTCAATTTCTGCATTTTCCAGTTTCAAAGTTCTGTCCCTTGAAAAATATGTATTTTTTCAAGTATCTGATGAAACATTGGAAGAAGCTTTCTTGAAGTATGAACAGACAAGTTCCTGTGCTAAATTTAGATTTTTGACTCACAGAATTACTTTCATTGTCTGTCCACTCTCTGTCACCCTATCTCATTAAATGGAACCAAAATCAACACAATTTGGGGAGCCATGTTTGATACTCCCCACCCCCGCCACCACCACCACCGCTTTTCTCTTCTTTATTCCTTTTTATCCCACTAATCTCTCCTTGAATCAGTTTGGTTTTTGAAATATATCTCTTTTTTCACTTCCTCTGCATCTCTGTTACCACCTTGTTAGTTAGACACCCTCATTGTCCTCATGGTTCTCTTGGACAGCTGATCATCTTGCTTCCAAAAGTTCTCTTTGGGGAAGCAAGAATGATTTTTAAAAGCGAGTGTGTCTTTTCATATCTATTTAAGATATTGCAATGATTTTTTTCCTCTGCACCAGAATTAAATTTTAATACCTCAGGAAAAACTTGCAAAGCCTGCACACTGTCATCCCTCTACCTTTCCAATTTCATGGGTTTTGTTGTTTTTTTGTTTGTTTGTTTTTGTTTTTGGTGCCAGGGATTTAACCCAGGGGTACTTTACCACTGAGCCACATCCCCAGGCCTTTTTATGTTGTGTGTGTGTGTGTGTGTGTAATTTAGAAGACAAGTTCTCACTCACTGAGTTTCTTAGGGCTTCACTAAGTTGTTAAGGCTGGCTTTGGACTCATGATTCACCGGCCTTAGCCTCCTGAGCCACTTGGATTACAGGCATGTGCCACCAATTTCAAATCATATCAGTATCTCTCTTCCTCATGTCTCTGTACCCAAAATGAAAGTTAGAAACAATACTTTAAATAGAAGAGTTCCTATCCAGGAGAGTATAACCTGTGCCTCCAGAGATGCATTCCAGACAGCCAATAGTTCTTGGGGATATATCTTATCTCAAATTCCCAATGAGTGGCCCTCTGTTGTCCCATGGCCATGACAGTCAAGGAGCTGTCTCAACTAACCCAAACTCAATTGTTCATTAATGGAGAAAATGGTTTGTATGTTAGACCACATCAAGATAGAGCACAGCTCATGGAAGATGGTGTGCCAATGGTCAGGCTTGGTAACCCATAATTCCTGGCATATAGTCATGCCACTGAAGTAGAAATGCATTAGCATTTATTAGTGCAAGAGAAGCTTAGTTGAAAAACTCTGATATGATAGTGTCCATTGATATCACAGGATGATATCACTATTTTGAAAGCTTTTTATTACAATTCTCATTCCATGTTTAAAATTACTTTCTGTTATAATGATTCATATTATTTATTGCTCTTTTGTTGGTAACTCAACACTTGGCATGTAAGTATAATTACAGGAACTCTAGAGAAAGAGATTGTCAGTAGCAAAGAGTGAAAAATGTGGGGCTTAGTTTTGGTTTACTTGGAATGATTTAGAAATAAAATTTTGAAAATTGTATGTAAGGAGAAAGAAAACCAGGAAATACAGAAGATAAGTCTGGGTAAGGATTGTGAGTGTTTCTGTGGTGTCACTTAAAATAATCTTAATCTATAAAGTTGTTAGCAAAGCACCATTCTTTTTTCCTTTGTAGGTGGTATAACAACAAGGAGTTAATTTTGTCATTATTATTTATTAATAACAATTAGATTTTTAGGTCACTTTGAACATAAAAATTCTTAGAAGTTTACATGGCACATGCAGACAAAATAGAACATTTTATTTGTAAAATAATTTCTTATAAATACAGGCTTTGGAAAATATAAATAAACTATAAGATAAATTGCAAAAAATCTTCAAAAGTCCCCCAAAACAAAGGCAGTTTACTTTCTTTATTATTATTATTATTATTATTATTATGAACTATTATTAAGCCTGGCCTCAAAAAATTGAGTTAAGACTCAGAATTGTTCTTCTCCACAAAATTTTTAATAAAAGGCAAAAGGTTTATATAATCTAAGGGGAAACCAAAGTATAAATTTACTTTCTTAAACATGGATATGTCCACTAGTTTGTATTTTCAATGTAGTAGTAGGATATAAATGGGAACTATAAATAGTGAATTTTAGTTAAAATCTTTTGAATCTATACGCAACCAACTAAATTAATATATGTCTCCTTGTTCAAGCAATGTCATCAAGAGAGATGACATAAATTTAGAGGGATTTAACATTTCCAGATTCCTATATTTACTTTTATTTGTGAATTTAACATGATATTATATTTCTAGTTTTACATTGCTTCTTAATCTTAAATAACAAATCAGCAGGCTAAATCTTCTTTTTTCTTGTCCTTATTTTACTTCCCATTGCCTGAGGTGCTTGCATAGATTTTAAGTGCTATAGCAAGTGTTGCATCCCTTTACAGGGCTTTCAATTGCATTATGTGATGACAACCATCTGCTCAGGATCTCTTATCTTTTCCATTGAAACAACTTGAAATTAAAATTGACAGTAATGCTCTTCCACAGGCACTTACCCAGAAAGCAAAGTGGTGTACACTTATGCTGATCGAAAACAGAGTATCTTAATACTTAATACTTTCGTATTTAATTACAGTGTTGTATAGTAAGCTTTGTAAAAGCAAAGTGATGCTGCTGACAAAACACAGATCTAATCAAGGAAATGGTATGGGTAGTTCAGCAAAACCTATCTCCGTGCCAGAATATTAAACAGGAAATGCCGACATCTGGATTTCTTGGACCAGCATAGAACCCACTTAGAATTGTAATCTTGCAAGCATAAATTAACTCCTGTAATTAATTACTTTTATTAGTAAGTGAATTCAAATTAACAACTTCTTCCAACATCACTAAAAGCTCTGTGATAAGAACAATATTTTACTTGGATTTAGAATGATTGACTTTCAACTCCTATCCTGTGACCTTTCAACCTAGTATAATTGAGTAAATATATTAACTTCCCTCTGTCTGGTGCTTTGTCAAATAGGGATTGTTTAGGAAATTAATTAATACAGTCTGTTAAAATTTCTTTAACAGAAAATAACAACACATTGCATATCATTTTATGCAGGGTTGAGAGGCAAAGCCTATCCCTCTCTGCCTTTTATTACTTTCTTCACAGTGGACTCAGAGGCAAATCTGAAGAACTTTAGAGCTGGGTAAAGTTGACAGGGAAACATTGAAATGTAATATGGAAATGAGTTAAAAAATGTGAATCATTACATATTTTCCATATGTTGTTAAAATTCAATTTAATACCACATTAATATGTAGTTCAAATATAGTTTTAAAACAAAAGTAACTTTATTTGGTAGGGATTAGTAGATGCACATTGTATTATGATCCTTGACCCCAACCTTTGTAAAATTAAGGATATTTGCCCCACTACTGTCAGGATAGTTGACTCCTCCTTTATAACTCCATTCCTCACTGGGGATTTGCTAAAGAAGTTAACTTGATCCTTAGTCAAAGCCCATTCAATGCCCTCACAATGCAGAATAAAAATATTGGTCCTTTTATTTCAGTTTGCGACACATTTTCAGTGTGATCTCTGATGTAGAATTCTCCGTAAGATCAGCTGTTGTTTATTGCATGTTAGTCATAGTTCTACTTATTCCTCTGCTCAACCCTATTTCCCTCAATCAACACTGATGTTATCCAGAGATCTCCTTCAAACCAAATTCTCATATGCTACACTTTCTCCCAGAATCTATTTCTAGTAATGGTTCTAAAACACTTTGTTCCAAGAGGAGCAATAAGAAGAAAACTCTGAAATTGAATTTTGGAGTTCTATGTTCCATTAGCTCACCCCCCCACCCCACCCCCTGACTTCCATTGCTGGTAGTTGATGAAATACAAAGAGTCCTTGAGATACTGTGATAATCCAATTAAGAAAATTTTCAGTGGCGTGAACTGTGATAGGATGCCTGTGGCTGGTAAAATATGTTAGATGTTTGAAGAGTATAGGGAATAGTTCTTACATATCATGGAATTGGATATCTGTTGTTGAATGTTATTGACAGTTTTAAAATAAAAGCTGAAGTGATCAGTTATCAGTTTTAGGTCCCATTGGAAGCTTAAACAATATTGTAATCTTCTTCAGTATGAGTAATGAATAAGCTAAAGGTCAAATGCAGAACTCAAGTTTAAAGGTGAATAACTTCCAAAGAAAGTTGAATTCTCTACCCTGCAAATCCATGACATGCAATTCAAGGTTTTGATTTGAAGAACAAGTGACCTGATAGCTGAGACTGTGATGTTCAGATTGATGTGAATAAGGACTTTACATTTCCAGATATGCTCTAAAAGTGTTGGTCTATGTGTAGCTCACTCCTTCTTGCCAAACACTAATGGTTACTGTTTCCCTGTAAACAAAGAGACTTCTGCCTTGCAAGTCATCAAGTACCATACACACAGCATTTACTGCTAACTCTATTTCTTCCCATCAGACAATAGTTAATTCAATTATGCAAGAACTGTGTTTGCTATTAGAATTAAAAGGGATTGCAGGATCACATTGGTTATACAGCCACATTTATACATACTGCCATACTAGAGTCTGTTGTATTCTGCTGCCCTTCCTATCCCCCCCTCCCCTCCCCTCACATCTGTACATGGGGAAAAATAAGAATTCATACCCCATTTGAATCAAATGTATGATATGCCAAGATCATTGTAATATTTTGAGCAACTAATAAAAAAGAAAAAACAAAGAATTAAAAGGGATTGCCATGTTCTCCATGACAAGTCCCTGTTTAGATGTACATGGTCAGACACATATGATGAGTTAGGGGAAGGGAATGTATGCTTATATGAGGAAGAATTCAGAAAAATAGGAGAAGGAGAAAAATGAGTAGATAACACCCTCATAAAGAATCGTATGGGCTGGGATTGTGGCTCAGCGGTAGAGCGCTCACTTAGCATGTGCGAGGCCCTGGGTTCAATCCTCAGCACCACATAAAAATAAATTAAAAAAAAGAAACAAAACACTTAAAAAAAAGAACCCTATGTGTACCTAATATATGCTAGGTGGCTCTTTGACTTTTGCTCAAAGTAATAACTCCACAAACATGAAGTATATCTGTAAGAAATTCCAAGAATAAAAGCAGAGAAAAATAATAGAAATAGTTAGGAACTTTGCCCTACTAGAATATTTTTATTACATAAAGTTGAAGAAAGTACTAGTTGACTATGCTTTCTGGAAAATCTTTGAACACACACTGCCTGTAAGGAATGTCCTATTGATGAAACCAGCATATTCACTGAGAGAATTAGTAGTCACTGGCTTCTTTAGGTTTAGATGACTGTGGGAGATGCTATTACAGGGCTTGGTTTTCTACAACACTGGACATGATAACAATGCTGAAATAATAGGGCCAGGGTGCAGAGCTTAACTTTAGGAAGCAAAACAGACACAATTATCATAATGAGCAGCAAGGCCTGAGTGACAGCCATGGGTTCCTGAGCTGCAGAACATTAAGAAATGTTTAATAAAACATGGTGTACTAAGGGCAAGTGATATGGACATCGAAGGAGAATAATACTTAATTTATACAATAAAAAGTTAAATCACGAAGGGGTATTTTTCAGTTTCAAACTCCAAAAATTAAAATTAACAAGTTTTTATAATCTCATCAGAGAAATGAAATCACATGCAAACTGTCACCTGCAAAACTTGGGGTATAGTTAAATACAGACTGGCACCTCAGATCAGTTTACCAGAAGTAGAAGATGCTAGAGCAAGTAATTGATAAGAACACTGAAGTGACAATCCTGATGAATGCTGGAAGATGAGTGTGGGTCAGCTTGATAATTAAAAGCCCCTTCAGTGTAGAACAACAGAACACTTTCATGGGTTTTACCTCTAGGAGTTCCATTAGGTTCCCATGGTAAAGATTAAGAAAAAAAATCCCTTCTTCTTTCCAGAAGAAGGAAAGTGAAAAATAATCATTTGAAATACTTTCAGAGTTTTCTCTATAACAAAAACTGTCCTCTAAAGAAAACTACTCTGTACCAAAGCCTATCTGACATGAATTAAGGATAACACAAAAATGTCAACCCTTCTTGTCTTACTGTCTCATATAAAGGGAGAGAAAATAAAACTAAGGAGGACTTCTAAACTTCACTGCCCAGAGAGTCAGAACCAGTTTAAAAATGAGATATAATCATAATCTTACAAAACACTTCCCCTCCTGGCACCTTACCACTATGTGTAAAGGGCTCCAGCACACCCACAGCAAAATACAGCTAAAAGTTGTAAGACACAGACTGTAGTCAAGAAGTTCTTAGGGAAACACAAAGGTGTCAGTAGTTATAAAATAAACTGAAACAGGAAAACGTAATAATCTATTACCTAAAGCTGTAGAAAATTAAACAAAGCAAGATTCCTATCCATATTAACATAAAATCTGATATGAAAAGTCTCAATACCCCAGATTCTATTTTCTAACACATCATATCTAGCTTCCAACAAAAATATACAAGGCATATAAGAGAAAGAGAAAAGTCTGAATTATCAAAGTGAGTATCATAACCAGATTCACATTAGTAGATTTTGAAATCATCAAGTAGTTATGATTAGTATATCAAATGTAACACCAAAAATGCATTCGAGAACACAAAATAATGCAGCCAAAGATCCACAAAGCTCAGAAAACTAAGCAAGATAAATACTCTCTCATTTCATCTATTTGTCTCATGTACAAATGGTAGAAATCTGAAATGTTTTGGATATTCGTGGTCATTTGTGATATCTCATGAATTTAAAATTGTTTTGTTCTGTATTTCTATGGTAAAGCACAATTGGCATTTGGTAGGGATTGTACAGAATTTACATGTCTTTGGGTCAGATGAACATTTCAATAATATTAATTCTTCCAATTTATGAATTGTACTGTTTCTATTTGCATTTGCTGCAACTTCCTTTCATTAATGTTTTGTGGTTATAAGTATGCAGATCTTACAACTCCATGGATAAATTTATTCTATGCAATTTATTATTTTTGATACATTGTA